CTCTCTCTCTCTCAAGTATAAACAAACACTTAAAAAAATAATCGAATCATTGGCAAGAAGGGTGACACTGTAGAAGAAATGAGAATGTAACAGTAGAGGGAAGGTCTATTAGGCTCTAATACTGGAATGAAATCCTCCAGGCATGGTGGCGGGTAAGAGAATGCTGAGGAAAGAGAAAACACATTAGGAAGGAGAAGAATAGGGGCACCTGAGCGGCTCAGTTGGTTAAGCGTCCAACTGTTGATTTCAGCTCAGGTCATGATCTCATGGTTCGTGGGCTCAAGCCCTGTATCAAGCCTTGTGTCGAGCTCCCCACTGGGCATGGAACCTGCCTAAGATTCTCTGTCTCCCTCTCCCTCTGCTCCTCCCCTGCTTGCACATGCTCTCTCACTCTCTCAGGAAAAAAAAAAAAAAAAAAAAGAATATGCTAGAACTCATCAAATGGAAGTACAGGATGATGAGATACTCAACAGGAAGAGGCAAAGCTTAGGAATAAACTCATCTGTGAGCACTCATGGGTCTCACATAACACACACCTCCCATTTCATCTGACCCGTGTATTTTCCCCCAAATAAAGCACTCATCCCCTGCATCTATTTAGACTTCAGTATCTCTCAGCAAGTCATAGAGGCACAATTTGACAGAATCTGCTCAGACCTCTCCACAATGCTTCATTTTATGTATTATTCCTACATAAGTCTGGTCATTTGACTCTTCCGTTTATCTGAGAGGAATAATACGTTGTGTTACAGGTGAGCCTATGAATAAATATATAAAATGTATTGACACTTGCTAACATCGACTAAAGACTACTTAGTTAATTATTTTATTTTTATCAATTCGTTACTTAAATCTTTCTTTAAAGATTTGATTTTTTTTTTTTTTTTAGAAATTGCTTACCTCTGGCAGCCCTCTCTCTTCCTTCCCTCCCATCTTCCCTCCTTTGAGGTAGACATCGGAACTTCTGGATTGTCCTAGGTTATAAGCAAATTCTTCATCTAAGATCTTCTTACCCGTAATTAGTCTTCAATTTTGTCCATTCTTCTTTAAAACTCATTTACTGAACTTTTAAAGTTTCTATGATTATGTTCTTGATTTCTAAGAATTGTTTTCATAACTGCATATCTTGTTACATATGGATATATACCTATATTCCTCTTTTATTACACAAAGATATTCATTAGAACTATCTTGAGGATGCCCGGGTGGCTCAGTCACTTAAACGTCTGCCTCTTGGTTTGGGCTCAGGTCAGGATCTCACAACTCATGAGTTCGAGACCCTCATTGGGCTCTGTGCTGACAGTGAGGAACCTGCTAGGGATTCTCTCTCCCTCTCTCCCCGTCCCTTCCCTGCTCTCACTCTCTCTCAAAATAAGTAAGTAAACTTAAACTATCTTGAGGTCTTTTCTTCAAGTGTTCATTTTTTGTTGGGGTTGATGCTTTTCTTTCCTAGTATTGCTCGAATGGTGATTCTTGGCTGTTTGCTTATCTTTGTATCTGTCTGTGGTCTGTGTTTAAGTGTCTGTGGATTCAGCTTCTGTTTCCTACCTCTTGTCTCCTGGGATTGGGGGGGGGGGAGGGGGCAGTACACGTAGGGAGGAGGTGTTCCAACAGGTGTCATCTGTGTGAGTGTCCTTCCTGTCCCTCTCACGTGTCATCAGCTCTCTGGGACAATGCTCGTCTATTTCAGACCTAGGTCCCTTGTGGGGGTCAAGAGCAGCTGCGTCTGCTTTGCGGTATGTGGGGAAAGGGGGAGGGGCCAACCTGCCCAGCTGTTCTACACAGGATTCTCTAGTTTATACAAAAACAACTTTTCATGTTTATTTTTGAGAGAGAGACAGAGCATGAGGGGAGAGGTACAAAGAGAGACATGGAATCTGAAGCAGGCTCCAGGCTCTGACCTGTCAGCACAGAGCCCAAGACAACGCTGGAACTCACAAGCTGTGAGCTCATGACCTGAGCTGAAGTCGGACACTTAACTGACTGAGCCACCCAGGGGCCACAGGATTCCCTAATTAATAACTACGACCTCCCTCTGATCCAATGCACCTGCTGGATGGGCTTTCAGGTGTCTGGAACTACAGTTGGGTCTCACAAAATTACTTACAATAGATTTCCATTAAACCACAGCTATTATTTTAGGTTATTTACATATAGCATAAAATGAAGCACATTTATATCCGTATTATTATGATGTGATCTCCATTAAGAGATCTATGAGAGATTTCTTAAAGCCGATTTATTTATTTTAATGTTTTATTTATTTCTAGGAGAGAGAGAGAGAGAGACACACAGCGTGAGCAGGGGAGGATCAGAGAGAGAGGAGTCACAGACTGAAACAGGCTCCAGGCTCTGAGCTGGCAGTCAGCACAGAGCCCGACGCGGGGCTTGAACCCACGAACGGCGAGATCACGACCTAAGCGAAAGTCAGGCGCTTAACCAACTAGGCCACCCAGGCGCCCCTCTTAAAGCTGATTTAAACATGCTTTTGCTTTATGAGGCACCTGGGTGGCTCAGTCAGGTAGGCATCCGACTTCAGCTCAGGTCACGATCTCATTGCTCTGGGTTTAAGCCATGTGTTGGGGTCTGTGCTGACAGCTCAGAGCCTGGAGACTGCTTTGGATTCTGTGCCTCCCTCTCTCTCTCTGTCCCTCCCCCACTCACTCTGTCTCTGTCTCTCAAAAGTGAAGAAACGTTAAAAAAATTTTTTTAATGCCTTTGCCTTATGATCTGCATAAACTGTTTTAAGAAACATCTAAAGAAATATGAAATGGGACACCTGTGTTGCTCAGTCAGTTAAGTGCCTGGCTTCTCCTCAGGTCATGATCTCATGGTTTGTGAGTTCGAGCCCTGCACCTGGCTCTGGGCTGACAGCTCAGAGCCTGGAATCTGCTTCGGATTCTGTGTTTCCCTCTCTCTCTCCACCTCTCCCCCGCTCACACTCTGTCTCTATTTCTCTCAAAAATAAACATTTTTTTAAATTTTTTTAAAAAAGAAAAAGAAATATAAAATTCTTGACTTGCTATTTTAAAAACGCAGCACTACCCATTAATCATATTCCTGGTGGTATTTATCGATCTAATAGAGAGGGTGGAATCATAGTTTTACATTATTAAAGCAAAGAGGTAAACAAAAGCAGAAGGGTGAAGTGCAAAGTCAGACCTTAGGTTAAGAATCTCTTACTGGGAAATTATTACCATCGTCATCAGGAGAGAAAACTAAGCACGTCCTTTTACAGAACAGATCTTAAATATCTCCATACTATTTGGGGAGATTCGACGAGAAAGAGAAAAAAAAGACATAAGCTCAAAATAATTTAGGTGTTTACACTGGGTGTTATATGGAAACCAACTTGACAATAAACTATTTGTAAAAAAATAAATAAATAATAATAATTTAGGTGTTTAAAGAAACCCAGGCCATTTAGATGATGTTTAAAAAACAATTTCTTTAAACAGTTTTGGAAAGCAAGTATTTTTGCTGCGATGCTTAATGTGTGTTATAGCGAGAATATTATATTTAGGCGGGGTTGCCGGTATCCTGTATACCCAGGACATGCCCCATACTCATGTTGTCCTGAGCCCTGTACTTTCTCATGACACCTTACGTGTCCTGTTTTCAGCTTTTTAAAAGAAATTACAAAAATCAGCAGCTAGAGCTATTTGTCTGCCCCAGTAATTGGAACTTACATCACTTACATGGCCCTACCAGCTGCCAAACATACATCCACAAACATCCGAACCATGTGTGAGTGGGGGAGGGGCAGAGAGAGAGGGAGACACAGAATCCGAAGCAGGCTCCAGGCTCTCAATTGTCAGCACAGAGCCTGACACTGGGCTCGAACCCACGAACTGCAAGATCATGACCTGAGCCAAAGTCGGACGCTTAACAGACTGAGCCACCCAGGTGGCCTGAACCACCTCTTATTGCCTCTCCTGCAGGTCTGGCTGCAGGGAGATCCAAAAAGGGAACTCAGAAGGAAGAGTATTTATTTTTCATACTCAAGTAAAGACTATTCTTCCACCCACTTCCCAAGCTGTGAACAAGTCAGCATTGTTAAGTCAAGTTAACTTCGTATGAGTGTACATGCTCTGAAAATCAGCCAAACACTTGTAGCCTACTCCTGTGGCCCGTTTCTGGAAGGCAGCCACTTAACAGCCTCACTCCAAGTATCTAAAAGCAAGCAAATCAGTAACAGCCCCAAGCTTCTGACAGCCATTTGGTGATAAACCTCCGGTCCTCAAAGTCCGCAATCTGGGACAGCACATGCTTCTAGGCAACAGCCACTCAAAAAGCGCCTCAATCCGGCAGCCAAGCTCCTTCTGAAGGTTGTGGTTAGCTGGTCGATAGCAGCCTTTCTCCAGCAAATGTACTAACGCAGATGAAAATCTCTTTCAGTTGGTACACACTCCCACTTCTGAAAGCCCACTGATCCCTGGATGTCACGCTTCTGGAAACCTTACGTAAGGTCAGCTCTGGCTTCTCAAGAAAACAGTGTCTTACAAACACAGCTGACCCTTGAACAATCCAGGGGTGAGGGCCGCTGACCCTGAGGTTGACAATCTGCATAGAACTTCTGAATCCTCAAAACCTTAATGGCTAATGGCCTACTGTTGACCAGAAGCCTTCGGGCTATCATATATGGTAGATTAGCAGCCATATTCTTATGTTATGTATACTCCATACTATAGTCTTACAAGCAAATAAGTTAGAGAAAAAAATATTATTAAGAAAACCATAAGGGGGTGCCTGGCAGGCTAAGTCAAAGAACGTGGGACTCTCGATCTTGGGGTTGTGAATCTGAGCCCCACATTGGGGGTAGAGGTTACTTACAAATAAAATCTTAAAAAAGAAAACCGTAAGGAAGAGAAAATACATTCACGGTTCCGTACTGTATTTATCTTTTAAAAACCTCCACATAAATGGAAATGTGCACTTCCAACCCGTGTTGTTCAAGAGTCAGCTGTATAGATTTCCCTTGTAGCAAACAGAAAGTTTACCTTTTCTGCATCAGAGTTCAAGGAGTTCAATTCATTGTTAGTTGGCAAGCTTGCAACTCTTCAGCTCCCGGTGACAGACCATGAGGAGTTCAGATTTGTGAGTGGCTGATGGCAGTGACATGGTCATGAGACTCCCAAATTCAGTCTTCAAATTCTGCAGTGATGGAGAAAGCAAACTGGTAGTTTCTTCATTTGCATATAACTGAACCCCCAAATGTGAGAATACAAAAGTTTTATGACCAATTCCTGAACGGTGGACACTTATAAAATGAGAAAATAAAAATCCTTTGAAGCTTTTCGTGTAATATGCAATTGTTCACTCGCTATAAGTACTGTCAGATGCAAAGCAGCACACCCTAGCAGGTGAGCATAAGAGATGTGCGATTTCCTCAATTAGTATCAAAGAAAACAATAAAATAACTTTTTTTTTATGATTTAGAGAAATTCAGATGAAGATAATCACAGCAGAGGCTGTAATGGCCTTCCGTGGTCTAGATCATCAGACATTCAGCTTGAATGACTGTTTATTATTTTTTTAATGTTTTTTAATTTTATATTTGAGAGATTGACAGAGTGCAAGCAGGGAGGGGCAAAGAGACGGAGCCTGAAGCAGGCTCCAGGCTCTGAGCTGTCAGCACAGAGCCCAACATAGGACTTGAACCCACGGGCAGTGCTCTCATGACCTGAGCCAAAGTCGGACACTCAACCGAGTGAGCCACCCAGGCGCCCCTTGAATGACTGTTTAAATGTACTGCTATCAGAAGTATTTTCTCTATGGAGAACAAACAGAAAGTTATTGGAGGGATTGGGGGGGCGATGGGCTAAATGGGTAAGGGGCTTAAGGAATCTACTCCTGAAATCATTGCTGCGCTATATGCTAACTAACTTGGATATAAGTTAAAAAATAAAATAAAATGATAATCTAAATCAGAAAAATAAGAAGTATATCCTTGTTTCAAAACAGCAAACAAATACTAAAAAGCATCAAATCAAGGGGGAGAACAAAATCTACAGCAATACTACAAAGTGTAAACGCCGCATTCATTGCTACAGGTTAGCAAAGACGTCAACGCCTCGTCTTTTCTGCAGCATAGCGGCCGAATGCAAGTAACCACAATCAGAAAACGCTTTCCTCTTGCTTGGGCAATATTTTCTTGGGAAACAGGACTGCATACAAGGCCATTGTCCAAGAAGACCCTTCCAGATGAGACTTCAGAAACCTTAGGAAATTGTAGCAAAGACTCTTGTAAGCCAGACTTAATAAGATACGTTGAATTGGAGGTAGAACATGCCACTGTTTGTGGAAAGGTGTAGAAAAAGGTTATTCAAAGTTGAAGCAAAGCATAGGATTCCACAGAAACCACTGGCTGTCCTGCTCATAGTCTGTGTAATGATGCTCAAATAGCATGATGTTCTTTCTTTGGACACCATCACGCCTTGTTATGAAACTTCAGCATTTATAGTAACATTGTTAGCAGCATTACCCTCTTGGTACTGAGCAACTAAAACTGTCATGATTTTGTTGGCATGATTCAGTTCTAATAAACATATGGGAAAGAATTCTCACTTTATCACTTAAAGCATAAAATCATAGTTTAACTATGAAGAAAAGGACCCCTAAATTTTTGTTGTTGTTGTTATTTTAAATTTTTAATGTTTATTTATTTTTGAGAGAGAGAGGCAGAGTACAAACAGGAGAGGGGCAGAGAGAGAGGGAAACAGAGAATCTGAAGGAGGCTCCAGGCTCTGAGCTGTCAGCACAGAGCCCAACACGGGGCTCGAACTCACAAACCACAAGATCGTGATCTGAGCCGAACTTGCAGGCTTAACGACTGAGCCACCCAGGGGCTGCTCTTACTGAGTTTTAATACAGTAACTCCCCTCCCCCCCAATCCATACGGGATACATTCTACCACCTCCCATATGAAACAGCAAATAGGACCGAATCCTACATATGCTGTGTTTTTCCTATACCTACATACCTACGATAAAGTTTAATTTGTAACTTAGGCACAGTAAGAGAGTAACAACAATAACAAATAATAAAAGAGAACAAGTACAGCAAGGTACTGTAATAAAAGTTATGCAAACGTGGTCTCTGGCTTGCAAAACATCCCGTCGGACTATACTCACCCTTCCCGTGATGATGTGAGATGATAAAATTCCCACGTGAGGGGCCTGTCACAGACTTTGTGATGCACCGAATGGGAGAAGCGAGGGGTGTGCGGCAGACTTTGTGACTTCAAGGCGTGGCGTCAGGCTTCTGATGACCTTCTGACGCCCCTGCTTCCGGTAGGGGTTGACGGCCTGAAACTGAAACGGCAGAAAGGCCAAATCCCAGAGAAGGGGAGACTAGTGTAACTTATTCTGGCAAAGCTACCTATTTCTTGATCATTATTTGCAGTCACTTTAGTAAGAGGATTATGCAAAGTGAAAGAAGATCTACAGTGTTTTCTTTTCTTTTTTTATTTTTTAATGTTTTTATTTATTTGTGAAAGAGAGGGAGAGAGTGTGAGGGGGGAGGGTCAGAGAAAGAGGGAGACACAGAATCCGAAACAGGCTCCAGGCTCTGAGCTGTCAGCACAGAGCCCGACGCGGGGCTGGAACCCACGAACCGTGAGATCATGACCTGACCGAAGTCGGATGCTTAACTGACTGAGCCGCCCAGGTGCCCCAGATCTACAGTGTTTTCAATGTACTCCCCTGTTTAAAGGAATTTGCTGAGTGTGTTAGGGACCTTTCGAAACCAACTTTATCCCTTTGGTTAGCAAGGCTGTTCGTGAAAAAGGCAGTAGTGCTTTTGAACAGGAAGAGAAATCCCAACTCGAAGTAGATCATTATTATGGCACTTGTAACCAGGTTTTGAAGTCAGTATTATCCTTTGAGGAATTTGATTTTTTTTACTGGATGTTGCTAAATATTCTTCTAACATGGGAGCAAGTGGAATCACATGTATTGTTGAAGAAGAAGGAAGTAAAAAAGGACAACAATGGGCATCTGGGTCGCTCAGTTGCTAAGCAATCGTTTCTTGATTGCGGCTTGTGATCTCTCGGTTCTTGAGTTCAAGCCCATCCAGGCTCTGACTGACAGCCCGGAACCTGCTTGGGATTCTCTCTGCCCCTCCCCTGCTTGTGCTATACTTTAAAAAAAAAAAAAAGCAAGTTATGGGGGCACCTGCCTGGCTCCGTCAGTAGAGCTTGCAGTCTTGATCTCAGAGTTGTGAGTTCAAGCCCCATGCTGAGTGTAGAGCCTACTTAAAATAAACTAATTAAGTAATTAAATTTTTTTGAAAAGCAAGTTATGCCTTGAAAGATGGTATGTGCTTCAACAAACCAAATTTGAAGATGAATTATCCGAATTTTAGCTTTATGCTGGTATATGTTTAGCATACTGTCTTATAATGATAATATCAAGCACGTTTTCTCATTAATGGATGTTGAGTAGGTGGGCAAAGTAATAAAATAAACTGAATGAGACCACTGTAGCTCATCTGTCACAATGTAAGTGGAATATAGACTGTGACCACAGGAATTTTATAAGCAGATTTGGCAAAGCCAGGAAGTAGTAAGGAGAGCCAAGTCCTCAGGGAAATGAAATTAAGGAAAGTGGTGTGTAATTAGATGGTTGATTTATTTCACATAAATAACAAATACTGTTAGAATAAAATATGTCCCATGCCATATTTGTCTTTTAATCTAAATGTATATATACATAAAGGCAATTAGAGATAAATTAAATTTAAATGGGGATTTAATTAAAGGACAGTGAGATCATGACCTGTGCTGAAATCAGACACTTAACCAACTGAGCTACCCAGGTGCCTCCACAACGACAATTTTAGAACATTTTCAGCATTGCAAAAGAAACCTTCACCCTTAAGCTATTTGCTTTTGTCCCTTCCCCTCACTCTTTCCACTGCTCCCAACTCCCAATGACCAGCCAGCTCTGGGTGCCACTAATCTATTTTCTGTCTCTCTAGATTTGCCAATTCTGGACATTCCATATAAATGGGATCACATAATATGCCATCTTTTGTAACTGGATTCTTTTACTTCTTTTCTTTTTTCTTTTTCTTTTTTAAGTTTACTTTATTTTTTGAGAGAGAAGAAGAGAATGCACGTGTGTAGGGGAGAGGCAGAGAGAAAGGGAGAGAGAGAATCCCAGGTAGGCTCCACAGCACGGAGCCGGACTCAGGGTTTGAACCTATGAACTATGAGATCATGACTTGAGCCGAAATCAAGAGTTGGACACTCACATGACTGAGCCACCCAGGTGCCCCTGTTAGCATAATATTTTCAAGGTCATGCGTGCCACAGCAAGTAAAAGTACTTTATTCCTTTGTAAGGTCAAACAATATTTCATTGTATGGATATATCCGATTTTGTTTATCCATTCATCATCTGATGGATATTTGGCTTGTTTCCACTTAGGTTGTTACTTAGGAGTAGAACTCCTGGGTCAAATGGAAACTCTAATTATTTGAGGAGCTGCCAGACTGCTTTCCAAAGTGCCTGCATCATTTCATATTCCCACCAGCAGTGTATGGAGGGTTCTGATTTCTCCACATCCTCACTTGTCATTATCTGCCTTTTAAAAAATTTTATTTATGTATTTGGAGAGAGAGAGCACGAACCAGGGAGGGGTAGAGAAAAAGGGGGAGAGAGAATCCCAAGCAGGCTCTGTCATGTCAGTATAGAGCTTGACCTGGGGCTCCATCCCACAAACCATGAGATCATGACCTGAGCTGAGATCAAGAGTCAGATACTTAACCAACTGAGTCACCCAGGCCCCCCTGACTTTTTGATTCGAGTCATTCTAGTAAGTGTAAAATGGTATCTCACTGTGGTTTTGATTTGCATTCCTCTGATAATTAATAATGTCCAGCATCTTTTTCATGTTTATTGGTCCTTTGGTAGATCTTTTTTGGAGAAATGTCTTTTCAGATCATTTCCTCATTTAAAAAAATGTGCTGTCTGTTTATTATCAAGTTGTAAGAGCTCTTCAGGTAGTCCAGCTACAGGTCTCTCATCAGATATATTATTTCCAAATACTTTCTTCCATTGTGTTTGTGCTCTTTTCACTTTTTTGATAGTGTCCCTAGAACCACAGAAGTCTTTAATTTTGATTAAATCCAAGGTTCGCATTTTTTCATTTGCTGCTTGTGCTTTTGGTGTCCTATAAAAATGCATTGCCAAATTCAAGGTACTACAGATTTACCCGTCAATTTTTTTCTAAGAATTTTATAGTTTCAGCTCTTACATGTAGGTCTTTGATCCACTTTGAGCTAATTTTTATATACTGTGTGATGTAAGCATTCAATTTAATTACTTTTTAAAGAAATCTGTTTAATGTTTATTTTTGAGAGACAGAGCACAAGTGGGCGAGGCAGAGAAAGAGGGAGACAGAAGGCTCTGCGCTCTCAGTGCAGGGCTCAAACTCACAAATCTGTGAGCTGAAGATGGACACTTAACCAACTGAGCCACCCAGGCACCCCTCAGTTTCATTCCTTTGCTTGTGGCTACAGAGTTGTTCAGTACTGTTTGTTGAAAAGAATCTTTTCTCATTGAATAGTCTTAGCACTTTTGTTAAACATCTGACCAGCTTCTCTGAAGTAGAGAGGAAGGATTCTAGGATAAGGATTGGATCTTGGGGAAAGATTACCTTGAAACGATCTGTAGATCTCCAGTCGAGAAGATAGACTGGCCAGTCTGCTTCCAAGGGGGCAGGAAGCACTGCTGGTCACCCTGAAGCAGCTAAACAGGGTTACAAGCTTCCTCTCATTCCATGAGGACCACTAGCCTTTTCTGATGAGAAGAAAGGGAGCAGGAAGCTCCTCTCTGACACTTGACCAAGGAAGGAGTTATGGCTTGTCTGCTTGTCCATTGCAGGTCTACCCCTGCATCTGCGGTATCCCTCACAGCTTCCCCTCTACTTAATGCACCTCCATAGCTTGACCCACCCTCATGGGCAGAAAGAGCCAAGAGTAAACAAAGAAACGGTCTTAGCATCTTGATGAGCTCTGAGAAATGTACAGAATTGTTGAATCACTATATTGTACACTGTGTATATTAATATAACACTGTATGTTCATTATAGTGGGATTTAAAAGAAGAAAGAAAGAGTCTTTGGCAACCCAGCAGCCAGAAAAAAAGAAAACAAAAACCCAATAAAGAGCAACCAGAACATCCAGAATTGGGCTAGCTTCTACTGTACTAGTTGCCAGGGGAGACAGAAAACGACTTTAATAATAAACAAATAATAAATAAATAAGCATGCACCCGAGGACTCTCTGGACACAGCCAGTGTTATTCTGAAGCGAAATTATTCAGTGAAAACATAAAAAGGGAGAAAAAATGAAGTTGAGAATCTAATTAATGGTGTGATAATCAAGCAGAAGAAATATCTGAAGAAGAGGAGGAGGGGGAAGGGGAGGAGGAGAAGAAAGAAGAAGGGGGGAGGGGAAGGAGAGAGGGGAGGAGAAGGAGAGTGGGGAGGAGGAGGAGAAATATCTCAAAACAAAGAACAAACGTTCTGGTTTAGTTAAAGTGAAGACATCACCCTGAAAAGATTCAGCAAGTTCCAGGCAGGATCAGAAAAATAAATAATACGTCTTTTCCTAGATATCTCCTGGTTAGTTTTCTGAATTGCAAGGATAAAGAGGCATCTTACAGGCCTCCAGACAAAAGACAAAGTATCCGATTGGCTCCAGACTAAGACTCCATGGCAACAACCGAAGGCAGGAGTCTGTGGAATATCTATCTGACATTGAAAGCAAGGAATGTCATCAAAAAGCCTGCTCTCAGCCAAGATGCCCTTTGCCTCCCAGAGCAAAAAGAAACCTCCTGATGAATATGTAATGATTTAGATGATGCATCCCACATGTGTCCTAGCTCAGGAAAATACTAAGGAAGAGTATTTCAAGCTAAGGGAAGCTCAAGAGAAGATGTAAGATTGATTCGTGCTCTCCAACACACATTGTTAAATCTGAACACATAGCGGTGCAGAGCTCGGGAATGTGTGATCTAAGTGTCCAAGAGCCTCAAAATTGAAGAGTTGAAGACTTACATGGCAAAGGAAAACGTAATAATAGTTCAGAAGTAAAGTTACCGAAGGATCTCAACAAGCAGGAATTAAGAGTGGGAGAAGGGGAAGAATTAGCATTTGAAAGCTCTCCTTTAGAGAGGAAGGAAGCAAAAA